TTAAAAGTAACACACAATTTGTGGAAACACATGATTACTCAGAACCTAAACAGAGAGTAGGCTTAGGAAAAGGAAGATTGAAGGATACACACACACACACACACACACACACACACACACACACACACACACACACAACACACACACACACACACACACACACACACACACACACACACACACACACACACACACACACACACACACACACACACACACACACACACACACACACACACACACACACACACACACACACACACACACACACACACACACACACACACACACACACCACACACACACACACACACACACACACACACACACACACACACACACACACACACACACACACACACACACACACACACACACACACACACACACACACACACACACACACACACACACACACACACACACACACACACACACACACACACACACACACACACACACACACACACACACACACACACACACACACACACACACACACACACACACACACACACACACACACACACACACACACACACCACACACACACACACACACACACACACACACATATATATATATATATATATATATAGATATATATATATATATATATATATATATATATATATATATATATGTGTGTGTGTGTGTGTGTGTGTGTGTGTGTGTGTGTGTGTGTGTGTGTGTGTGTATATAACATCTTGTTGGTTTAGACATTAGATCTGGTTCAAAACGGTTGAATGTAGGGATACCAGTGTAGTTAGCATTATTACGTTAACCGTACTAATTTTAATTGCTAAGTAAAGTTATCGCTGTTGTTAAGTTATCGGAGACATTTGGATGTAAGGCTTCATGTGAATATGTGGCTGCTTTTTGCGTCAAAGTTGCCAAGAAACCCATCCTTTGGGAAAATTCCCGAATTTTTACAACTGCATTTATTTACTCACGCTTGTACCGGACCAAACAACATCAGGTGGCATACGCAGTGGTAGAAACCAGACGTTTTTATTGTTGCTGTCCTGAAAGGGTCTAATTGCCCACACGCACCCGGGATGCCAAAATGTTCTTAAAAGGTGTTCAGGGGGGGGGGGGGAAATTTGGCTCCCAAAACTTTTCACTGATCAATTTTAAAACGGCGCGTTGTAGCCGCGCCGAACTTAGCACAGGTGTAAGCAATGGCGTAGTGGATCTTTTGGTATATATATATATATATATATATATATATATATATATATATATTAGATGAGCCCTGCATGGTCACTGACATATAGCGGGTCAAAGTCAGACCGTGGCTGTCAGCGAAGGCAGTTTGTAGGGAATCGTTCAACATGATGCAGCCAGGGCGTCCTAGAGGAAGCCATACACATCTGAGATGGTTTCTTGGGCAATAACGCAATTTCATCTACGATTTAAACAAATTCCATTGATTTTGGACCTGGTACAAAGGTCAGACCGAGTTCAAACCAACCTGTTTTTTTCTGGAGGGCTTGCTTTACCGGGTAGTTTCTTATGAGTGTTCTAGTGCTCATTTAGAATTTCTTAATAACAGAGACCGCAGCAGATATCTACCATGGTCTTCTTAACGGTTAGAGTAGGTAACTAATCTAAAATGGCCCATGTTAACTTTTTTAGGAGCATACCGCCCAGCATAATCCTGAACATGCATCTAAATTACAATAAAAACAATCTCGTAGGAATGTGGTCACCATGACTTTCTAAATATCAAACAGCCACTGACCTGCAGTAAGAACCGGTAACCTTTTGTTTAGAACATTTATCTGCGTTCAGACGGTTGCATGAAAAAGTTTGGGGCACTTTGGACATCCATCTAGGGCTTGACCTTACCTCACCCTATTTCACCTGAAGGCATGACCAATGAACTTTAAGTTTTGACAAAAGTGAGTCCACGTACAGGCAAATTCGCCACGTAAATTCGCCTTTTGAATTTGGTATCTCTAGCTTTTCTAGTTCTCGAGACGTCGGAGAGGGCACAAATTGCCCCTCATCCGAGCAAAGGGTATTCAGCCGGCCACCCGGGCGCTTGTTAATAAGGAGTGTAATTTAAAGATAAGCGGGCTTTTATGTACATCATAACTGGCATGCACTGCACGCGTTACAGTATAACCTCTTCCGAATCATTGGCTGGCGTGGGAGTTAAAGTATGATATAGGTGGGGTTTTAACAATCGAGTTAAAAACAAGATGCGTTATTGGATGTGCGACAACCGAATCTTTTCAACACGTCTGCTTGGAGTTTGCACACCACTTCAGCCTTCAGCAATGAGGGAAAATAACCCGTTCATCAATCAATTTTTCAACAATCAATCATTGGATGCACAACGATTGATTGTTGAAAAAGTGATTGAATCACTAATTTTCGTTGGATGCACGAATTCAGTGTGCATGAAACGATACACGATCTGAGCACTTTAGCCCCGGGCAAGGCTGCTAATTCGGGCAGACGAACATTTTAGAGGAATTCAGCCAAAATCGCCGCCGTCAAGACATCGGTCACACGGGAGTGGTCAAGATCCCCCGTCGTCGCTGCCAAGAATCTATCGCCCGGCATTCTGATCTAGCGTTTCCATACTGCACCTCGACCATGCAGGTGTGTTTCCTAACTCAAGCCCCAAAATATGGAAAACGAGGGACGCACGTCAACTGTATCCCTGTACTCAGCAAAGTGTACGAGATTGGTGACGATGTTCATGCATGGTTTTGTGGGACCATCTTGGTTCGAGGAAGTGGACGGCCGCGAGGCTGCATTGGAAATGCAGCGGTTCCTCAAAGTCTTAGAAAGTTCTGTGATCATATAAGAAGAGCACTCGCGTACACATGTGCCATTCGACAGTTTTCATAGGTCGGAACCACACATTGCTGTTCCCACGAATCATGAGAGTGGTTGTAGGATCAATCCGGTGATGAAGTGACCAGGTGCGAACTCGACGTGGAACAGTACCTCATCCCCGACCTGATACCCCTTGACTTTTTTCTGTGGTAATACTTATAAGATCATGACTGTGAAGATTGCCACAAGCCATCGCTCAGGTCAAGCAGCAATAGAGGACAAGATTCGAGTGATCCCCATCGCTCAGTGCGTAAACGTTGTGAACAGTTCGGTAGAGTGCATCGAAGTGCGTTCGATCCGTCGAGCAAACATCTTGAACATGTCGTAGGAGCCCTGATTCAACACGAGGCATCCCAGCGCTATGAAACTTGGACCAAGCACGTAGAGCATTGTCAGAGTGTGCGAAAATCTGACAAATTTTAATGAATAGATAACGCAGGTACTTCCAGAGTTAAGCGACACATTCTAGTATACCGGCAATTCAGACACTTGCTGTATTTTATTGACCCAGAATTCCCCTTCTGCTCATATGCATTCAGAGAGCTCAGAGGCGCATTGAAGGGCTCAAGTCAGGGGGAGGAGGAGCAAAGGTATCCCCAAAAGTGCACAAATTTACACTCCTGAACCCGAGTGTCAGAGGCGGGAATAATGCACGGTCACTGCTTTACTAACGCGGAATAAATGCAGGAGTTACCCTGGGGTGAGATAAATGATGGACCAAGCGTTTTATGATCATTCGCTCATTATCGACTTTGATATGAAATACATGTAGGCACCAAGAGACTTCCGTCTTTCCAGGATACTGATTTGATTTGTTAGGTCTCGCGACCCTAGAACCAACCGACATGGGTCTAAGATTATGGATGTTGCCTTATGCTGGTAATGTGCGCTTTCCTCCATCGTCATAAAACAGCTAACTGTGGGCGCGAGATGCATATGAACAACAATGCCATATTAAGGATACAAAATGTTGCATATACAATAAATTTGGGAGGGAAGGAGAAAAGAAGACATGTAAAAAGATCCAGTATAATGGCCCATATTGGAATCCCGCTTCAAGGTACCTGTCAGCGTTGATGCCAAGTTTTCTGATAAAACAGACGATCCTTTTTACCTTATTTGAAAATAAGATGGGCAGAACGTGATGGGAAAATAATGGGTGATGGAGGTTGTCAAGTCGTTCTTTGTTGGCAAAATCCCTTCACCACCTTGCAATTGTTTACACGCCCCTGCCGCTTATAGTGATATCATTTAGCGGTGCATCGGTTCGTGCCGACACACTAACGAACATCTTCCTGCCCAAACGAGGTTGCTGGTCGGGTGATGCAATTCGAGATATTTCATTAAACCTTTTGATAGGACGGAGTGTGCGCAAATCAACGATTTTGTTGGCTGATCATCGACGCCTCAGTTGCGTTTATTCTTGTAGCACCTGTTCCAAATCACGTGCACGTGTCAAAATGTGTACGCGCAGCAAAGAGCACCGGGTCGTTTGGGGTCCTGGTGCAAAGAGCAGACTGGCTCTCCTTACCTTCTTTCTGTACGTTCGACCATGAGCTGTTGGGCGCACTCAAACGAGTGCCCTTGCCTGTTCCTTGGCGTTTTTTAGACGCTTGCCGTGTGTGGCTTTTGAGTGGTCCACAGCTTGCTGCCATAATAAGGCCGATTGAAACGAGAACCCATCACCGTGGCGTCTCGTGTGAGGAACATAGTGATAACACGCTACCGCAGACATGCCGCTTACAATGCGACACGTGGACACACAACGCCTCACGCAGAAGGCCGGTGGTGGGTCCAGACGAGGTCACAGGGATTAGGTTTAGTTCGAAAGTGTCGAGTACGGAGGCTGGGACTGAAACTTCTACTACGCGATTCTTTTATAATGCGGTGCTCTCATAACCGGTTGGAAGCATGCCCGTATTTCTGCTGCGCGGCAATCAAAATTTGCATCGTTATAACGATCAGCAAAATTAAGGTGTGTCTCGTATCGCTTGCTTATGTCCATACAACACTGCATGGGCTTTGGATGCTCTATTACTGTATGGTATAAACAGCTGCGGGCTGTTTGTAAATCAACTGCCGACTTTGGCGAATAAGGTGTGTTGTGCATTCCGCCGCTATCAGATTTTCAAGTCCGTATATTTCAGTCTCGTAGAAATTCGCGTTTATTTCAGAAATACAATAGCGATAGTAAACTTTGTCCCCGTAAGCACTTGCGGAAGCACGCAATGGTTGTGACATAAATTTCAACAATCTCATCAAAGGACATGACAATTTCTAGCGCACCAAACCGAAAACTACGGGATGGTTAATAGGCAGAAGTCGAGGCCGGCCATGTGCAAAGCCGTTTTGAGGGACATAATGCCGACTATCGACGTGATGATCGGATGCCTGCGCGCGATGACTTGGGCCAGGGCCAGCCATTGGACAAGAGGGCTGATTCGCCCCGTCTGCTCACTCAGGTAGCCGTCCTGTCCCTCCGCGGCCCCGGCTGGCTGCTGGCGTCCCCAGGACAGCTAAAACAAACAGGACAGCAAAACGTTTGGCGAGAATGACGAAACAAAAACGCTTGGCAAGTTTATTAATTGCGACGTATATATACGACAGCATTCAGGACCGAATATCAAACCTACCCTTGTAACCCATCTTTGCATGCACGCCTAGTAACGATCGAGTGCACTGCATACGAATATAGATCGTTAAGTATCAAATAACATTTTTCGTTCGCAGCCCCTTCACTTTAACTCCATGTGACATGGCATCATGCTTACCCAGCTTAGTTTATTCGTCTTAGTGGGTGCAGACCCCAATCCGGACATGCTGTTTTCATACGTCGTGCCGCCAGGTGAGTTTGATTCATTGGTTCCAACGTCTCCGGATCTGTCGAGACGGGTGCCCTTCGGCGTTTTATTGCGCTTGCGGGGTGGCATTTTAATAAAGTTCACAAAAACTGCCGAAAGCCGTCAAACACCAAATGCGGTGATTCGTAAAACAGCACCGCAAGAGATTAGATTAACACAAATATAACTGCGATTTTTTGCCTTTTCGTTTTAAAACAGAGCGGCCGAAAATGTGCACTGCGCTTTTATAAAATTACGTGCGAAGTCCTTGTGCCACACTATCTTTTGGCACTTTCGGTTAGATGTCGAAATGAGACCTTTCGCTTGGGAGCCACTGCGTCCCGAAACAGAACTGATAACCTCAAATATATGGTTCCTGATGAAAATAATCGCCTATATTCCCATTTTGTAGACAAAAACGTGAAGTACGCCAGCCACCATCGCCAGCTAGTTTGCGAGACTGCGAATATGTGGATCGTTTGCAAATGCAAAGGCCGGTAGCAAACTGCGCGATTGCACGCGCCTACTTAACAGCCTTTGACATGGCGCTGACAACCGAACCAAATGCTAAATGCGATTTTACTGTCTTCTCTTCTCACAAAAGAAAAGCACGGCCCATATTACCCACGCCCAACATATTCCGAGCCAAAAGTTTGACCGGAATGCATATCTAATGGCTTCCACGGTCATTTGCATATTCTCTTCGATTTCTGCAATTCAATTCTGTGGTGACAAATTAACGTCATCGGACTATCACACACGAACCACGCCAATAAGACACCCGAAGCACATTGAGCAACGATCTTTGCAGCTGTATATCACATATATTGCGAGCAGGTGCGGGAACACGGCAGGGTAGAGGTACGAAGCAGACGACGGACAGCCAGCCGCCACCCACACCTGCGACTGTGGCCGACAAACCAACCGAAACGGACACCTGCCATTCGAGATCAGGAAGGCAGAAACAACGCAAGACTGTGGTGCTCGATCAGGATACACGCACGATCGCGACCGGCGTGAGCATAAATGCTCACTCGGCCCCGGTGTACACGAAGAGCTTAAGCGTAACGTGCCAGCGCGCGCCGCAACGAATACTGGCATGACCTCGCCAATGCCGCATCCCAGGAGTATCAAATACGGCGGCCGTGAAAGACATGAGCGTTTGCAGCTCATGTGATCAGATGATCGAGTCGGCACGCCTAGAATCTGATCAAGCGCGGCATTAACCGTTGCACGACCGCATAACGAATGCCCACTCCCTCTCCAGCGTGGTAGAACTTGCAGCGCGAGCGAGCGTCGAAATTTAAAGCATCAGTCATAATGCCTAGGACGCCGTGACACCACGTGATTCAGCTGAATTTACGCTGCTGCGGATTCATGCCAACAATTCCATTGACAAATAAATCGAGCTGCATAACCATTTGCGGTCGATGCGCAACGCAAATCCAACAAATGAATCGAAGAGCAAAAATCACATTCATTGCACACTACGAAAAGAGCGGACTAACTACGCTCACTCAAAATGAGGTGGCCCCAGGCGCTTTGAGGCATGCAACCACGAGTCCGTGTTACACTTCTCTGACGTGCATCAACACCCAGCACGCAGGCATGCATACAATATACAGCGTGATGACGAATACTGCGAGCCAGGCCTGAAAGCTGTAGCGGCCAATACAGTAGCATCGCACTTGGCAGCCGGTGAAACACGTAGGACACGTAGCAGATTATGACCATGCTGGTAATCTCTTGACACGCATCTGGCCCGTGGCAGTCTGTGCCAGAGCCATTCAGCAGTGTAGGTTGGTGTCCACCCACCCGTTCAATGAGCTACATGTGGCGGGGTTGGGATGGTGACCGGACGCTGGCGCCCGCCCGCAGGCCACCAGCACGGCTGGTCTGGTCCAGTGAGAGCACTCCCTCCCTGCATCAGAGGGGCGCTCCCGTCTATTCCTGGACTTGGTGCGACGCAGCCACCCGACGCATGACAACAGCCTCCAGCTCGCACCAGGACGCCAGGGGTTGTGACGGAAGCGTTCCAGCCCTCTCGGCGGCCTTGTGCCTTGCTTCATCGCACGCAGCTCCCGATTGTCAACTGGAGCGGGGCCAAAGCCGACGACGTCCGGTACAGATGCCCGGTCATGTGGCTGAGGACAGCTACTACGGGTCGATAGCTAGCCAGCGTTCGCAACGGCGGTGCTATGCCCCTTCTACCCCTCACGTTGACAGCGTAACATATCCTGAGATAATTCGTCGCCAGGTCTAACTGCTGCTTTGAGCCGAAGTCGAACAATCATGTCAGACATGACGCACACGTCTAAAAGCCATTGGCTCACACCAGCTGCTGCGGCGCACGGACACTCAATAGTGAATGGTTCACGTCTTTTGCCGGGCTGCACTCGCACCACGCGTTGATTGGTCGGCGCCCGCCGTCGTGCCAGGGCCTCTGGCGGTGATTGCTCGGCACCCGCCGTCGTGCCAGGACCTTCGGCGGTGATTGGTGCACACCCGTTGTCGTGCGCGCACCTCAGGCGGTGATTGGCCGGTCGCTAGTGGCCGTGGCGACCCGTGAGTTCGCGGGGTCACCTCCGCCTGGTCAGCACACTCAGACGGACATGTCACCGGCGGCGAGGGGAGCCCGCTCCGCCTCCTCCGAGCACGTGGAGCGCCGGTCCTCGTCCGAGTCAGTGCCCGACCCGCCAGAGCTGAAACGCAGGTTTACACGTCAGGCCGCGCGCTGGAGCGGGGAAGAGGAGACGAGGGCGAGACACTGGCCCTTTCACAGAATAATTAACAAAGAAATATGCGATCAAAAGTGCTGTGGGCTCAGCAACGAAACACGCGAGCTTTATCCAGAAACCCCGTCAGCCAAAACAGACAACGGCTTCTGTCTGAAGGCCTGCCATCCGTCCCACCGGGACTTCGCCACGCCGGCTATGCGGACACCACAGGGTGGGCGCATCGCAGGGCGGGAGCGCTCGGCCGGACCTACCCTGCGGCGCTCAGCGCGCCCGCCTGGGGGAGATGCTCACACCGGGTACACGTGCCGGAGCGCGCTGCCGGACAGCACGGGCCGCGTGAACGGCGACAGCCAGGCGTGCCAGGTGCGCCCGAACACGGCCCGCATGCTCTTCCAGCGCTCCTGGCGCCGCCAGCGCACCTCCTCGCCCTTCAGCGCCTCGATGCCCTGGGGAGAGGCGGGACCGAGCGTCAGGGAGGCAGAGGGCGGCAGCTACCGCCGTCGTCGTCACCGCAGCCACACGGCGACGACAGCGCGGGAGAGGGACCCAGAGCCGCACTGGGGAGAGGCGGACCCGAGCGTCAGGGGGCCAGAGGGCGTCAGCTGCCGCCGTCGTCACCGCAGCCACACGGGGACGACAGCGCGGGAGAGGGACCCAGAGCCGCACTGGGGAGAGGCGGACCCGAGCGTCAGGGGGCCAGAGGGCGTCAGCTGCCGCCGCTGTCGTTACCGCAGCGACACGGCGACGAGAGCGCGGGAGAGGGACCCAGAGCCGTACTGGCCTCACGGCCTGCTGAAAGGAAGAACACGAATCTTCGGCCCGACCGCGTCCGTTCCCGACTTAAGGCGATTCAAACACGACGAATGTCATTTCGATATCTTTGCAATGGTTACAATGGTGACTGCAGTCCGAGCTGTACGCAACGGCCCTGAACGTGATCTCCTGCTAGCAGACGTGTATTTGTAGCGGATGTCCGGTAGCAAAGGCGACTTGGAGTGCTGCCTCGTGCCGCCCCTCCCATTCTAGCGGAACCTCACGCTGAGGAGCATCCGCATAGGAGTTCCTCCTGTTAAGGGACAGGCATTCATTTCCAGCGAAGTTCTTGAAAGGCGTTCTTGAGGTGCCGCCTCGTGCCGCCCCTCCCATTCTAGCGAAACCTCACGCTGAGGAGCATCCGCATAGGAGGAGTTCCTCCTGTTAAGGGACAGGCATTCATTTCCAGCGAAGTCCAACAAAGAATGTTCGTGGGCTCTTACGTCACATCGGCCCTCCCGTTCTAGCGGGCACTCCTAGGCACTGGAATCCCAACTGCTGCATCCCACCACCTCGCCACGTACCGTCTCGTCGGTCCAGATGGCCTGCACCTGCGAGCACAGCATCACCAGCGTGAAGATGCCGAAGAGGGCGCCCTCGAAGATGAGGAAGAGCAGCATGATGACGGTGGCGGGCGGCGTGTGGACGCTGCACGCCTTCCACTCGTTGTGGAAGCACGAGACGAACTGGTTCACCGCCAGGATCAGCGAGTGCACGGAGATGGCCGCGATGTACAGCTGCGGACGAGTGGAGTAGGGGCGAGGTGAGAATGTTAGCGAGGCATGGCTGGGTAACATCACCGCTTCCATTATGGTTCACCGCCAGGATCAGCGAGTGTACAGAGATGGCCGCGATGTACAGCTGCGGACGAGTGGAGTAGGGGTGGGGGAGAGTGTTAGCGAGGCATGGCTGGGTAACATCATCGCTTCCATTAAACGGCGCGGGAAGAAGTCATGTGAGGCAAGGGTAACGCTTTACAACTACAAGCGCATGGTGTAGCAAGTACGAAATGACACTGAGGACAAAATCAAACTTAACAAAAAAATATATTATAACAGACGAAGCAGGTTTTCAGCCACTCGGATTTGACCAGTGTGTTTTACCTCCAATAACATCAAACTAACATTCTCGCACAGCCATGGAAGACCCCTGCATTTCACCGATTCTTTAGTCATTTCGCTGAGTCCCAACCCATCCTGACGGCACACTACCGACAGACCACCCAACATCCGCATAACGAATGTACAATTTCGGTACAATGAGAACAGGTCGAGGTCTCATATCGACAATTTAATTGTTTCTGAGCGAAATTATCCATTACTTGTACAGCACCAATCATCTCTCAACCCCGTGTATGGCACGCAACGCCCGAGATGCGTCTATGCGCCAACACATACCCCAGATGACACCGCCTAACGCCAGGGTCCCCAGCTCCCTCCGGTCCCTCACCGTCAAGATGCCTAACGCCGGAGTCCACAGCCCCCTCCAGTCCCTCACCGTCAAGATGCCTAACGCCAGGGTCCCCAGCTCCCTCCGGTCCCTCATCGTCAAGATGCCTAACGCCGGAGTCCACAGCTCCCTCCGGTCCCTCACCGTCAAGATGCCTAACGAGAACGCCGGAGTCCACAGCTCCCTCCGATCCCTCACTGTCAGGATGCCTAACGCCGGAGTCCACAGCTCCCTCCAGTCCCTCACCGTCAAGATGCCTAACGCCAGGGTCCCCAGCTCCCTCCGGTCCCTCATCGTCAAGATGCCTAACGCCGGAGTCCCCAGCTCCCTCCGGTCCCTCACCGTCAAGATGCCTAACGAGAACGCCAGAGTCCACAGCTCCCTCCGGTCCCTCACTGTCAAGATGCCTAACGCCGGAGTCCACAGCTCCCTCCAGTCCCTCACCGTCAAGATGCTTAATGCCAGAATCCGAAGCTCCCGCCGTTCCCTCACCGTGAAGAGCACGAAGAACTTTTGATTGTTCTCGCCGACGCAGTTGTTGACCCACGGGCAGTGGTGGTCCATCTTGCGTATGCAGCGCTGGCAGACGGAGCAGTGGTGGGCCCGCTCCGGCTTGATGCTCCAGCACTTGGGACACTAGCGGGTGGGGCAGGCGACGTCAGCCTCTCCATACAACGGCGGCGCGGACAGACCAGCCGGCCCTGAGCCAGCGGGCGGCTGGTGCGGCGATACGGGGTCTGGTCACCGCGACAACGCATGGTTGGAGTGACGGGCACAGCGCACAAACAGACTACCAAAGCATCCGAGACTCGAACAGATGGCACGCTATATTCATGAACAAGATGTGCCATATACCTTCACAACAGAGGATTTTGACAACCTAGATGGAAGAATACTGCATCTGAAGCAAACATGTCTGGTTGATATCGCTCGCACAAATTAAAAATAACGATTACTGATCATTGGAGGTAAGTCAAGTAGTCATACGTCAAAGGTACAGCAATTCCAAGTAAGTCATATTCCTCGATGACGATAAACGCATCGCAAACAGCAAGTCAAATCGGTTTACCCTCGACATACAGGCACTTTATTTCTATCGCTTAATTATACCGCTAAGCGTCTGTCGCCGTTACCTTGTATACAACGCCACCCTCCTGGCTGGTGGCCCACTGCATCGCCTCCTTTGTAGCATTACCCCGAGGCACGGCGCCCTGGCAACAAGGCCATCGCTACCGGTCATGGAGACGTACACGAACGTATCGTCAACGCGTGCGAATTACACGAAACTCGCGATAAGGCATGGTTTGATCGTGAGATAATTGATTGAGCCTAGCTTGCTAGCCTCCATTGTTACACATCATAGGTTAAGATTTCCATATCATTTGTATAATGACGTAACTTTTCCCTGAATTAGTATTCCATACATGCCAGTACATGAACACACAAAATTCACACCTTGTCCATCACCAAACAATACAAGAACCCGTTATCGCCGTTAAAATGAATATGCATGAGCTTAACCTTTATGCAATCAAAATCAGTGACTGATTCCCCTAACCTACCACGCGCTATATCGCTGTGGCGCCCTGCACACCATCCCACCAGCAGAGGCCCGTCTCGCAAGTCCTCGCTCGCAGCGCCACCTACCGGGTCGGTGAGCATGGTGCGCGCGTGACTGGAGAAGGCCAGCAGCGTGAGCGCGTTGTAGACCACCATGTGGAAAGCGCGCATCATCGACTGCGGCCATGAGAGCAGGATGACGCCCATCACCACGTACTCGGCGTAGCCGATCAGGAACCAGGTGATGAGCACGCAGAGCACGCCGCAAACATCGCCGATGCACCAGAGGCGCCGGTTACAGCAGCGGTTGTGGCCGTCGCCGCGGTCCAGGTACGGCGGCAGCGGCTCGCTCATGGTGAGACGCTCGATGTAGCCGCTGCTCCGAGGTCAGCTTCGAGGTCACGTTAGGTCGAATTCCGGGTGGCCTCAGGTCACAGGAGCATGTTCGGAGGCAAGAAGCTGGAACAACAGACGACCGTCACTTTTTACGGAAAAATCATAGGGTCATTGGTCTATGGAAGGTACAGATGGGGCCAATTCAAAGGAGAATACTTTCATTTGAGGAAACCATACACATATTCTAGAATCAATTCATGGTCGGACTATCGACATCCTTGGAGGTAGAAGGTACATCTGGGTTAAGCAAGTAAGAATGCAGTGAGCAATTAATTTCAGTTAGTATGCAACCTTAAAAAGCTGGAGATACCATGAACAACACTTCAAGTATGCAGCAATTATAAACAGCTTGCAACTAGCCAGTCAATCTGTATCGCACACCGCACTTGCTGCAATCTTAACACGCGTTCGGGTGGGGGTCAAATTGACCCTCCGAAGGTTTTTCCAGAATGGTTTCCGAACGGCGCGGCGTAGCCGCGCCAAATTTAGCATACTTGTAGACAATAGAATAGCAGATTGTGTGCCATCAAAAATTTAGATGTACCTTGTAAGGTTGCTGACCTATGGCTAGGTCATGGGAAGATCAAGTTTGACAACTTCAGGGATAGGTTTGGCCAGTTGCACCTCACATCACAGAGAATGGACCAGGGGGGGGGGGGGGCGGGCTATACTTGCCAGTTTTGCAATTGTCCCTAGACGTTTCTGCCGAGTTGGCATATGAAGCTTCTGCACAACCCAAAATGTACATGTTGTGAGCTTGAAAAGAGGGGAAAATGAATGACATGGGGTCCCTTCAGCCCATATGAGTGACATGTTAAAATGCAATGGACTTAAACACACATTTTAAATTGCATGCTTCCATGTATAGTACAAGATGAAAGCCTGTGCTACAAAACACAAAATATGCCAAAAATTTCATGCCACTCCATCCAGCCAGCTTCATTTCCTTTTTCTTGTCACCAAAAATATTAAAGGAAGTGCTCCAAATTTGTACAGGACTTTAAACTAGATAGCCACCTTGAAGATCACTTCATTCCTCACCCTGCCATTCTTAGAACCCAGAATGCTCTAGTTTCTGAGTTACATGCCCACAAAGATGTGCAGACTATCTTAAGCAACCCATTTCAAGGCCATTCAGGCATGCACAAGGTTACAAAAACATTGTTCATATCCTGTCACCCGACTGGCCATGTGGTGTTCAAGACCAAGAAGAAGATAATCATGAAGTCATTTCAATCTGACCTTGGTGGGCATCATTCCTGAAACCAACAGCCTTCAACTGGCTTTCAGCCAACATTGTGCATTCAGTCTAAGTTTCAAACACAACTCATGTTTTGCAATACATAATACAGGAGGTTGGACATTAATACTAGTTGTTTTGGAAACAAAGCTTGCCACTGAATAACTTAAAAAAGTGCCTTAATCAAGCATGTGAATGCAAGTGAACAAAATTATATAATAAACATTCAAGAACATCACAAGAAAGCACCAAAACATGGGCACACAACCACACTTGGGTTCCAGAAATGCCACACCCACTGTGACACCCTACACCTCTTACAAATTTGCAGCAAAGAAGGGAAGTCAGCTTGTCAAGCAAGTGAGTCCACCTGTCTGCTAGGGCAGAATATTACATGGCTTGTGAAGGTGGAAATCTCACAGGTCAGTTTGGCAGGCTGTCTAACATCACACAAACATTTCTGAATAGTGAGACTTTGTCTAAATAGTTTTTTACCTTAAATGCACAAAGACAGATCAAGTCAGCCATTTTCATCATATCTGGTGCTTGCCTTGACATCTTCTAATGTGGATCATTACTCTTGATGTGGATGGACTTTCATCCCACCTGAGCTTAGCTGCAACTCTTACTTTATCTAGGATTGAAACTTTGTTACTCCAAAGCTATGGAGAGATAATTGTTAATAGATATAATAACACCACATTACAATAATGCTGAGATTACAACATCTACCACATGTATGATGAAATTCCCATTCATTGTCCCTGGAGCGCAGTGATGGGTAAGGAAAGCATAATGTGAAGGTCCTATCATGCAAGGCACATATATACATATTGTTTCAAGATGCATAATGAACAGAAAAGATACACACAATTGCAAGGCCACATCCATTTGTATTCTAAGGCCACTGAAAAGCTCAACATTCAACTTCAATAGTGACTGTTGAGAACATAGGTCTCTTACACAAATATGTGCTAGGAATACATTTTTTGCTGTTGCAAAGGCTGGCTGGATAGGAAGGCTGTTCCTCCTATCCAACAGCATAGGGGATGTGGCCCTGGAGGTAGCCTGCAGCTTAGTCGCTAAAATCCTGCTTAACTTTCATCCCGACCCAACCCATCTCCCAACAGCTCCGAGGCTTTCAAAGTAAAAACAAATATTATCGCTTACTTTCCAATATCCAAGCTACATCCGACCAGCACCCATTTAGATTCAGAGGCTCCTAATCGCCATTTAATTACGAATTCTAATAGGTATCTACTCTAGTTAGGCTAACACACTCGGCATTCCAACACCAAAATAATACAATTGAAGTGAACAAGGCAAAATAGGCGCATGCTGCTTCTAAAACGCAGAAAATATTTCAAGCATATTCATGGTGGAAACAAGTGTGTTACATCTTAGCTATCAGGTCATGAAACTTGTTTAAATTAACAAAGTTCTTCACAAATATTTCTTTTTATCTTGTTTGGCATAAAGCGTATGACAAAAATGGACAGCAACGAGCCAACAAACTCGTCTTCAACGCGTCACGCTACGCATTTACTGCGTTAATTTGAGCGAGATCGATCATCTTTAAACCGATCTTTCGATATTCTTTAATCAATCTTCAACCAATTGAGACGTAACCAAGACACGTAACAGAGACATAAGTCTCATACAGCCTTGACATAACCGGTAGCCAAGGTGGACACAGTTGCGGTAGCAGCCAAGGTTGTTGTAACGAAGCCAGCTTGGGACTGTAGGAATTGTGGTACTGATCTGGTGAGCGATAATTGAACAGTTTTAGGGCTTCGTGGGCGTTTTTTTGAATTACTGTGCATGGTAGCGGGAGGGGAATTTCGATTGCATGTAACTGAAGCTAAAAAGGCCTAGGGTGAGGGTTTTAGGCAGTGCGTGCTGTGACATGCCCATGCTTGGTTACAAATCATGCTAAATCATGGATGATGTACCCAGTGTGTAACTAGGGGAGATTCCATAATTTTCAAAAGTGTAGTATTATTTGTAATATTTCCATCAAAGCTCCTTGTTTCCTATATGTATCACTTCAACCTTCAGTGATCAAATTATGGTAATAATGCTGTAGCTTGCATGAGTAACATGAATTCAAAGCCTGCTTTCACATCATGGTTAATTAGAGAGCCTGCCTTTTGATCCACGCTTTCATGTTACTGATCCAAGATGTTTTAGATGCTCATAAATTGCCTTGATGCAAAATTGTTATCAGATTTATGCAGGAAACCTGGATGCTTAGAGTTTAGTGTATAGTTGTCACCATGTCCAGTGCCTAGAGAGCCAATATTTTAGATAATTATGTGTTAAAGGTACTTTCAGGCAAAAATGTTTCAAAAATTCCCAACCATATTGTTTTGAAACTTGACACAATTTAGCCTGGCCCCAGTTTGGTGCATGCTATTGTGGGATTCAGCCGACCAATGTGGTGCAGGCATCTGGTTCAGTTCAGACTGGGTTGGTGAAAGCAGATGGTAACTAAAGATCAGATGATCTCAGAGGGCAGGCTAAACCATGTTATGCATGATAACCTATAACACTTTTGTCACCAAATTTGGTGCCAATTTTGTTGAAAGATTTAGTATAGACACTAAACAAGATGGATTTCTGAGATCAAAGCAAATGCCAAGCAGTGTTTGTGGTGTGAGCCCTGTGTCCTGTGATCCAATCTGGAATTTCTAGGTCAGCTGAAGAATTGGGTTGTGACATTTTCATGTTCTGTAATGGCCTGGATGCCCATCCATTCCTCTGGTATCATCTGACCTCCAGCATGGGTGCTGTTACCAGCCACAGGATATCCCAGTCAAAGATAAATAGTGAAAACCTGAAGTGACTTAAACCCTTGCTGTCATGGGTAGTTGGACTGGAAGGATGGTTGGATCATTCTAACCCACTGAGTCATCGAGAAAGATGTGATCAAGGATGAATGGTCACAACAAATTTCATGATCAGGATCAGATGGTGGGGATCATGGCTCATGCAACAGGGTCTGCTTAGCATGAGTTCTGGTCTTCTAAATACATTTGTGGCCCTAACATTGACATGGGAGGGGGCAGACTGGGTCATTTTGGTTTGTCTCTTTCTCTGGACAGCTGAAAAGTTAACTGGAAAGTAACTTTCCCAAAAGGTTGGGCAGCTTCAGTTCCCAAGTGTACCCAGATGCTAGGGGATGCGGTGGGGGTAGGGATCAAGAACAAGGCCTCCCTGTTTGTAGCATAAAGTTAGCACCAACCATCACATGATCAATGAAGAGAATAAATGTTCAAGTGAGATTTGTGTGTGCCACCCCCAGGGACACCCTTATGTCACTTAGTGGACTGTCATGCTGTGAAAGAGCTCTGATTTCTGATAATCTGGTAAAGTGCATCTAGTTTCAGAAGCCTGCATAAATGGATCCTTTTCCATTCACTGGCAAGGACACTGTTTGGACATATCTGAGGACGGTTGCAAACAAAAAACGAACATTTGAAGATCCTCTTTATGCAGAAGGCAATGCTGCCTGTGGAATGCAGCTACAATATGTAGCTGTCGATTTGGATGAGGAAGAGCTGGAGTGGTGAGTTTTCAGTTGAGCTCTATTGCATCATTGAAAGTAATGAATGGTGCAAGAGTAACCAATCAATGTTTTATTTAGTTTGGGTTTGTGGAACTGTTGTTCATAGCTCTGTGGCTCCTGAATGTCACTGTAGATTGGCACTCCAATCATCGGAACATCATCATCTGACTATGTCACTGACCTAGCAAACTTTGATGGGGCAGGAAGAGGGGTTAATATCAGCAAGAGTAGTTGTTCTTCACCCAAAACACACTTTGCACATATATGTCAACTTAGATTATCAACAAAATAGTTTTGTTACTTAGTACATGTGGTTTTCATTGAACATGACTGACAACTACGTCGCTTATCATCTCACACCATAACGACGCTAGAGGGCTGGCCCCGGCCCATGCCCAGCAGCCGGCTACAGCGCCCGCTAACGACCCGCTGCCGACAGCGAGCGGGCGCCGCTGCGGTGCGAGGTGGCCGGCTGCGGCCGCCGGCTGGGCTCGGTGGTCGAGCAGGAGGCGCACTACGCCGCCAGTCACCGGCACAGCTGCGCCATCTGCCGCGCTCGCCTGCCGTCGCTCCACACGCTGCAGCTGCACCTGGAGGAGAGTCACGACTCGCTGTTTCAGCTGCGCGCCCAGCGTCAGCCAATGGTGAGACTGCCAACCGGGAGAGACGTGGGAAGAGCGGGGTTTTAGCCCTGGCTTTCTGTCGGGGTTGCCCGAAAACGCGCGTTTCAAAGCTTGTGATTTTAGCAGGAGGCGCACTACGTCGAGTGCGCCTCCTGGGGTATATTTCTACAGGTGCGTGATCCGCCGAAAACTACCGTTTTAGTTATACGAAAAGTGGTTTGTTGGTATATTCTGTCGACTATCTGTGGCCGTAATGGATGTATGTGCCACACTGGCCATACATATAAATTCTAATGATACTTGGCGACGACTTTGCATTATCCGCGTTTCGAAAAAGGCGTTCGTCGATAGGACATTGATTAACACCCATTCAGAAACCAGTACAGGCTCATCTGCTAAACATTTGTATATATATATATATATATATATATATATATATATATATATATATATACACACTTTCTTGTTTCTGGAGTAAAGTTTACATGCGGGACGTGACACAAGCACCTGGACTGTCATCCACTGCAGGCTAGCCCTCTTACCAAGGCATGTGCGTGACCCCCGCGTGCTGCGTCGCCCGCAGTACGCCTGCTTCGTCGAATCGTGCGGTGTGCTGTCGGCGGACCCGGTCGCCAGGCGGCAGCACTGCGTCAGCGAACACTGCTTCCCGGCCGACTTCTGCTATTCGCCCCGCCCCCCAGCTGCGGACGTCAGCGAGCCGCCGCCCCCGACCGTGGGCATCAGCGGGGCCACGCCCCCGGCCGGCCGGCCGCGCCTGCGCTTCTCGTACCGCGTGCCGGAGGAGGGCGTGAGCTTCGGCGAGCGGGCGGTGCCTTCGCTCCGGCGGAGAACACGACGACGGAGGCGCTGGAGAGATCGACATGGCCAGCCTGGCGGCGGCGCTAGAGATGGAGCCGTTGTAGACCCCGCCCGGCACCAAAGAGGCTCCAGCCCGGTCTCTGGTCTGTCGGCGCCCTTGGCCCACCTTACGGCCGTGTACGCACCGTCCAGTCATGTAGACTCAGCTAGACTATTGTGATTGAACCAGGCAGTGAGAACTCGGAGTCGCCGGAGACTCACGGAGACCAGGCAGTGACAGCTCTGAACCGCCAGAGATGGGGGGGGGGGGGGGGGGGGGGAAGGAGCGCTAGTGAGCCGCCAGAGACGAGGGGCTCGTGATTGTGGGTGTTGTAGCCCATCATGTGACGGGATCTGTGGTGGTTCTGCATGTTGACGGTCAAGCGGCAGCGAATCGAGGCTGGCCAGCCCGGTCTCTGGTCTGTCGGCGCCCTTGGCGGCCATTTACGCCGCTAAGACACGGACCATCGTACGTGGCTCTGGAGCTGTGTTGCTCCGACGACGACTTTGACTGGGACGTGGAGGTGCTGAGGCGAAACATGATGGTGGATTGACGGGACGTTTCGTTTCCTCTGCGATCCGTATTTTCTGTGATAAGGACAGGCGACGTGTCGCTCAAAGGTCACGCGTTTTTCGATAAATATAAGGTAAAATGCTGTTTTGTCCACTTCTTTTAGGAGCGGGCTGATTCAGCTCCTTCCGTGTTCCTGCCAGGCCGAGCCGTAGTACCTTGAAGAACAAATGTTTGACTCATACACTGGTTGGCACTTGCGAAAGACAGCTTGCCAGTACGGTATGCGACGCGTGCCCGTGGATATTTCATGTTTTGTTTTTTTTAAACGGGGACCGAAGTTTTGAAGAGGTGAGTTTGAAGTCAGTTTTAACCATAAATGGCGACGTGCGCCGTGTTTCCGCCCCCCCACCCCTTCAGTGGGGAACTCTGGTTCAGCGGCTGATTCGTACGGACATCTTGGCGCGACGCGCGGCGCCATGCCGCGCGCCGCGTGGGCGCGGGTCAGAGCTGCAGTTCCACGTGCCTGCCCTACATGGTCCTTGTCCGACGCCGTACCAAGCAGGCTACGGGAACTTCGGAATGACTACCATGTGAGAGTGACGACACCGGTGCATGTCTAAATGCATTCAGGGCTCAGGTGCCAACGGAGTGTAGTGATGTGTCCTGGTGCTGGTGTTGAAAAAAGCCCTGGGAAAAGCCATAGCCCAACCTGCGGCTGCTTATCGGTGTGTGCTGGCTGCTCTGCCGCTGGAATATCTCCTTTAAGGGAGAGCTTCACCGCCTGCAAGCGGCTCTCGGTTCCTTGTTCGTGCCTCCGCTTGTGCCTGATTTTTCAGTTTCTTCACTCGCAGCAACCAAAAGAAAACGTTTCCGATTACGATTCAGCTTCATTGGATAACATACCCATTACATGAATGCTTTGAATAGGCGCTTCGCTGCAGCGGGGCGACCGAATACAGGGTAAATATCACAAAACCGCCCCGAGTCGTACCTGATCCCGAGACGCAACCGGGACCGGACAGACGGGACCGGGACAAACATCCCACTGATTAATGAGCACACGATACAAGCCAATCAGGATACTTTCAGCTACTCTGTGGTTTGGCCTCAACACAACGGCAACTCATCTATATAAGTAACTGGGCCGCAGACTAACATCAACACTCGGCAAAGCTCCACACAACAGCTCCCGTGCCCCGAGCCGGGGGCGCACGAATACACGCACCACGTGGCGCAACAGGACAACAGAACCGGGCGCATCCGAACACGTGCGACGGCACGACGCGCCTCGAGCCCACGCAACGGGCGACACAGTCTGGCGGCGTGGGGTCCGACTGGCCCAGGGCCTCTGCGTCCGGCTCTCCGGCGCCGGCCAGCGGCGCATGGCAACAAGAACAGGTGTGGACGCGGCCCGAGCCCGCTGAGGCGCGCGCACCGCCAGCGACAAAGCGTCTGCACCACTTCCGCTGCTACTCGCGGTATAGAACGCTCCTGCCTCCGCCGGAACTACTACGATTACTGCTGCTACAACTCCGTGTCCGTTGCTGGCGGTAGCACATGTGCGGTAGCATAGGTGGCTGTCTATGGCGGCTCTGGCAGTGCGAGCGCGCGGCGCCGGAGCCGGCGGCGGCTAGCAGCGTGGCCCACAACGGCTGCGGCAAGCGGCACCGACGGGCGGCCCGCCTCATCGCAGCACCACGTTGGTGATGTAGAGGTCGTGCTCGGACTTGGCCCCGCGCTTGAACGGGTTCCAGGAGTGGCGGCGCAGCCGAGCCCTTGCTGTTCTGGCTGGCCAGGCTGCTGGCCGGGCTCGGCTTGCGGCTGGAGAACGCCGAGCTGACGCCCCGAGCTGGAGAGCGAGCCCCAGGTCTTGTCCGAGAGCGGCGGCATCGGCGGCGGCCGCGGCGGCTCCCGCGTCTGTCGCATGGCGCCGGGTCAGAACACGACGTAGAGAGAAAGAGAGCGGCGCTCAGCGCCAGCACATGAGGCAGAGCGCCAGGGAGCGAGATAGGTCACAGAGCGCAGACTCGAGACACATAAGGCAGAGCGCCAGGGAGCGAGATAGGTCACAGAGCACAGACTCGAGACACATAAGGCAGAGCGCCAGGGAAGCGAGATAGGTCACAGAGCACAGACTCGGGACACATAAGGCAGAGCGCCAGGGAGCGAGATAGGTCACAGAGCACAGACTCGAGACACATAAGGCAGAGCGCCAGGGAGCGAGGTGGATCACAGAGCACAGACTCGAGACGCATAAGGCAGAGCGCCAGGGAGCGGGGTGGGTCACAGAGCAAGACCCGAGACACGTCAGGACATTGGATGCATAGTCAGGATACGAGACGGTGCCTCAGAAAACAAGCAAGCACCAGCAGCAGGGTCAATCGGCATTGTAAATGCACAGGCTGCAATCAGTTTAACGCCTGAACGGCAGAGTCAGAGAACAAGATTTGGACATGATGTTAGCTCACAGAACCTATAACCAAAACATGCTTAAAAATGTGTCGGACTACGGTGGTCAAGTCACACCCGTTTCTCGCCCCAGCATTGGAGAGGAGTCACGGAGCACAAAGTCGCATTCACAGATAATGCCCAACAGGTGGGTAAAAACAGAAGCGGGATCAACGCATGACGGCTGGGAAATCATTGAAACATTGCCCAGTCGGAGGTCCAGAGGTCATGCGCTAGTAAAAAACATCGGTGACCAACTGGAAACGCAATGCAGTGACGAGGAGGAAGGCGCGCCCTGGCTGGACGATAGGGTTACAGTAAACTCGTCCAGATGCTGGCTGGAGGTCCGAAGTTCTTGACTAGCCTGGACTGAAGGTTCCCTGGAGACTCGCCCACAACAGCTACCACAAAGGAAAGGCGAAACCAAATGGCTCGCCTAACTATTGCCCACACATCATAGCAATTAATTGTGCAATATAGGATTCAAATTAAGAGTTGCAAAGCGGTATGTAGACCTCAGCTTTTGACCACCCGGCCTTCGATTTGGATCGTTTGCTACCCACTGGAACTCAAGGTCTCAAACAGAACACCCACAAGGGAAATCCCGACTCCATGCCATCCCAACATCCCGAGCAGGCCCTGGCGCGCGGTGTGACCACTGCCACTGCGTCCTCACCGGCTCCGTCTTGTCCATGGGCGTGACGACGACCAAGCTGAACTCGCTGCCGGCCTGTCGGATGAGCGCCACCACATCCGCGTGACCGCTCCACTTGAGGTCCTGGCCGTCCATGCCCACGATGTAGTCGTTTTCCTTGAGGCCGGCGCGCTGCAGCGACAGGCAGAGGTCAGGCGCTGGGCAAAGGTCAGGCGACGAGCAGAGGTCAGGCGCCGGGCAGAGGTCAGGTGCCGGGCAGAGGTCAGGTGTCGGGCAGAGGTTAGGCGCCGGACAGGGGTCAGGCGCCGGGCAGAGGTCAGGCGCCGGGCAAGTGTAAGGCGCCGGGCAGGTGTAAGACGCCGGGCAGGTGTAAGACGCCGGGCAGGTGTAAGGCGTCGGGCAGAGGTCAGGCGCTGCCAGGGGACGGGTGTATGGAAAGGGGAACGGCGGCGACATCTGATGAAAACAGCGAGATCGCTCCAAATGGAGAATGTAGGGTGTTGATGGAAAGGAACGAGCTCGATAACAGGTAGTTAAGATATAATTCGAGGCATGAATCATGGTTACATGCACAACACGATTCCCAACAGCGCATCATATAATGATTGGGTGCAGATATAACTTCCAAAGAGGTGGCATTAGTGTTCTTCATTCCTGTGACTATAATATGGCTGTTCAACATTTTTAAAGTCAAAGTTTTATCTTACACCCGGCCTTCTTGGCCACAACCCAGAACATTGCACGTGAGCAGAAGCACCAGGGTACACCCACGACTTCCACGCGTATATACATAACACATATATACAAACATATATACATATATACACACACACACATACACACACATATATATATATATATATATATATATATAATGATGCTATGTGCACACGCACATACAATATATATATATATATATATATATATATATATAATACATACACACATATACCTTTCACTTACTTCTTCCGCCAAGAGGCCCGCACTTATGACCTTTCAGCGGCCCCAGCGACCTTTGCAAACGCATGTTCACGCACACGTGACATACACACTCGCGTGGCCTCCCAGCGATCTTTACTTACAACCGCTTCACACACATCGCCGCTCACCTACCCCTGTTATCGCACATCCCGTTTAGAGGAGCAATCAGCGACCCCTACATCCCCCCCCCCCACACACACACGTGACCTTCCTCTGACCTCTGCCACGCCGGTGGGTTCGACGTCGACGACGACGACGGGCGCCTCCATCTTGACGCTGAAGCCGAGCCCCTCGCCGGGCTGCCGGCTGATGGTGACTGAGCGCGGCGCCGACCAGTGATGGTGCGCTGAGAACACCTCGACGGGGCCCAGCGCGCGGAACAGGTCCGGCACCTGGTGCTGGCTGAAGTCCGGCGGCCGCAGCGTCAGCGCCTGCTTGGAGGAGCCTGCGGGGACGGAGAGCCGGGGGTCACAGGGGAGACGGTGGCTGCTGGGACATCGTCTGTTTGGAGGAGCCTGCGGGGACGGAGAGCCGGGGTCACAGGGGAGACGGTGGCTGCTGGGACGTCGTCTGTTTGGAGGAGCCTGCGGGGACAGAGAGCCAGGGGTCACAGGGAGACGGTGGCTGCTGGGGCAGCGCCTGTCTGGAGGAGCCTGCGGGGACAGAGAGCCAGGGGTCACAGGGAGACGGTGGCTGCTGGGGCAGCGTCTGTCTGGAGGAGCCTGCGGGGACAGAGAGCCAGGGGTCACAGGGAGACGGTGGCTGCTGGGGCAGCGTCTGTCTGGAGGAGCCTGCGGGGACAGAGAGCCAGGGGTCACAGGGGAGATGGTGGCCGCTGGGGCAGCGTCTGCTTGGAGGAGCCTGCAGTCATAAAGGGCCGGCGTTACAGGGAAGCAAACGGAACGTCACCCCGAGAGCCTTTCAACGCGTCTGGTTGGATGGGCTCCTGGAGTGTAAAGAAAGGTCCAGGGTTTTACCAGTCAGGATGTAGTTTATGAGATATGTATCCAGTCAGCAATGTGTCTTCGAAGCATGTGGTGCCTGTGTACCAAGCTTCGGAACCCTCTTTGCATGCGTCTCTTGCATGGACAATTTATAGCAGCATTAGGCAAATCCACTCGGGTTTCGTTCTGTGATGCATGAAGATAGCAGGTGCTGAGTGGGATCCCTACTCGTCTTCCCTGCATAATTGTTTATCGCTCTTCTTTGCCACTGTCACTTCGCAAACAAAAAAACAAGCATCCTGCAAAATATCTGGGGAAAGTCTTTCTTCAAATGGCACGAAATTTTACAGTTTCCGCCACACCAGCAACTCGCAAAGAAGATGGAATCATCGATTGCACCTGCTATGCTCTTTCAGCGGTGCCTTGCACCGCAAAACAAGCCACAGTACTTTAAAACATCAGCACCATTCTCAGCCTTCCTGCGACTATCCATTGCCTTCCTTCAAACTATTAGCGTTATTTGCGACCTTAATACGATTTGTGTCACCCCAGACGGCGAACGACTTCCAGGCAGCCGCACGCGACGTCCCTAGGGCACAATGCACAGACCTGAAGAGAACTGAAAATGTTTCTGGGCTTCAAAGTCTTTGCTTTTTGTTAACTTGAATAGCCATGCGGAGCAAATCTGACGGGGATGCGCTCTGTAGTCAGAACAATGATCAATAGAGGCGACATGCTCGCTTGTTTGCTTATTACGATCGATACATACCGCACAGCAATTGACAAGCGCTATACCAAATTATGTTCAGTCGACTGCGGACCGGGTCCCGCCGCCGTACGGCGCCCAGGACCCGGCGCAAATCTGCTCGCCAAAAACAAGGGTCGTGAAGCTCAGTGCGAATTTTACCAGAGATTGTCGGCGGCTCCACGGGCTCGTCGAAGTCGTCCTCCTTCCGGATGATCTCCAGTCGCTCCACGGAGACGTCCAGCGCCACCTTCAGCACGTGGTGCAGCATCTCGCGCTTCTTCAGCTCGCGGGACATCCGGTACAATCGCAGACACTCCTCGTGTAGCGTGATGGCCTCGTTCAGGTGGCACTTCCCTGTGGGCGGCGTCATGTCCAGACATCAATGCTTGATGTTCAGCATTAGCATATGTTTACATGCGTTTTTAGCTCTATTTACGGTATCACGAACGATGTGGAACGATTCAGAGGCAAGTACACAATACGCAGCAGTGCCGTGTTTTCATCCCACATGCATGGTTGAAGTGTCCTCTCAAAATTAACGGCTTTCAGGAAACTGCACTTCGCTTTGGAAATTGACCCAACTGCCGTCCGATCACGAAAGCACAGAACCTAACCAGCAGCCATGCGGTCGTCTATTCCTGGTGACGTGTAAACCCCGTTGCGGTGCAGGGTGCGGCGGCCGAACGCTCACCCAGATACTTGGCCTGCGCGGCGTTGCGAGGCAAGGTCAGGTCGATGCCGAGAATGTCGTCCCGATTGCGCTGGGACTGCTGCAGCGTGTCTATCTCCCGCCGACCCAGCGGCCCCTGGTGCTCGAGGAGGCCTGCGTGCCGCGGGGTCAAGGTCATGCTCAGGGCGAGCGCTACTGCGCTCCAGCAGCGCCGGTAAACAGCGTCGCGGCAAGGGTCACGTACCCAGCCGATGCACGGTCTCGTGCATCATGATTTGGTACCGCACCACGGCCCGTGCGTCTGATGTTGCCGATATCACCGACGACAACGAGGCACGCAGCGCTGGGATTGCAAACAACGGAGGTGGTGGCGACAACAGTGGTGCTTGAATGGGAGATAGTACACATGTCATTCATCAAACATTTAAGCCCCACTGTGCAGGGACCACGGAGTTCTCCCAACTTCACGGGACATTTAACAGCCACTCTTGGATATTTCTTTCCAATCAATACCAATAGCGTCCATGTTAAACTTAGATAAATTTTCAAAGGGATGCTCAGCCCCCCCCCCCCCCGAGCCTCAATCTCACGCCCCTGCCAATGTGATGCCTCCCGACGAGGAGGGAAGGCAGCCTTCAGCCACTGCGGAATAGGCGTGCTCGCAGGACTAAAAGGTGCGTACCGATGGCGAAGTGGTGGTGAGCAAGGGCGACGTAGTAGACCTCCTTGATGTGGACCAGCTGCTGCCAGGACGGTGGCACCGACTCCTCCACCGACGGTGGAGACATCTGCTCCCGCAGACGGTGGTACACCTCGGACACCTGGCGATCACGACGGGGCTTGTCAGGCGAGGGCAGCCGCGGAGTCCGGGCCAGGGGCGTTACGGGTTTCTGTGTCTCATGTTGCAAGGATGGTAATCCGTTTAGCATGGTCAATAGATACTGGGCTTCCTTTTGCATCCACGCGATTGAACGATGTGCTCTTCGAATCAGTCTTGTCTTGGATGCTCAAGTCACTTCATCCCCCTCCCCACGGGACTCTCAAGCCCATTAATGGCTAGACAGTCTTCTCTCAGCCCAAGCGGAAATCCCTGAACATCTGGCCCCTTCCTGAGCCTCTGGCTCCTCCCTGAGCCTCTGGCCCCTCCACCAGCTGAGCTCCTCCCCGGTTGTTCCGGCTCCTGCGTCTCACCTAGGCTTCTGGCCCCTCCCTGGACCCCCTGGCCCCTCCATGGGCCTCTGGCCCCTCCCTGAGCCGCGCCCCACCCGGCTGTCCCTGCCAGTCTCTGAACCTCTGATCTCTCCCTGAGCCTCTGGCCCCTCCCTGAGCTGTGCTCCTCCCCAGCTGCCCCAGCCACTCTCTGAACCTCTGGCCTCTCCCTGAGCCTTAGGTCCCTCCCTGAGCTGTGCTCCTTCCCGGCTATCCCAGATCCTCTCTGAACCTCTGACCTCTCCCTGAGCCTCTGGCCCCTCCCTGAGCTGTGCTATTCCAGGCTGTCCCGGCCCCTGCGTCTCACCTGGGCCGCCTCCCGACCCATATCGAGCCGGGCAGCCAGCTTGGTCTTCTCCTCCGCCAGCGTCAGTCTCTCCAGCTGGCACTCCCGCGCCTGCGCCAGCAGCAGGTTCGACAGCACCTCCAGCACGTCCGGGTCCAGGTCGCGGCTCGGCGCGTTCGAGAAGTTCTCTAGGATGTATCTGAAAAGAGACGAGCGTACTCGATTTTTGTTTGAAATTTTCGTCGGGGCTTATAGGAGGTCATGAGTTATGAGTCATGATATCATTATAGATATGAGTCATCATTATAGAGTCATGCGTGAGACATGACTCGGTGACTTATATGAGGAGCTCGGAGTGTCTGATGTCCGACATGCGTGTGGTATTTTAGTTCACAGGCGAGTGATGTTATCTCGGGATGTAGAGCATGATCCACAGTTTGTGACATCTGATTGGGCCGCCTTGATATTCCCAGACATACAGCCATGTTGATACGTTCGGATACGACATACGAGCACGCCAATACGATACGTACGGACATTGCGATTTCTATCATTTACCGAAGGTACTAATCCCCGCAGTGCCCGCCCCTCCTGTCAGGGCACTGGGTATGCAACGCCATTTTACTTCAGTAGACAAACGTCCTAAAACCGCAACAAGTGAATGACATTTATCACTATTTGTCTCAAATTAGCAAGGATACGTTACGCTGTTGTTCCAACCGCCTTCACATCACAACGCAATCATAAAGACACCTGCTTCAGTCAGTCTCCAGCACGGACGCCGCGTTACTCTCCGAGCCACTACTTGTCCGAATCATGCTGTGCGGAGCCCTACCTGTACATGCCTGCCGCTCGTCAGGATCATGCCGTGCGGAGCCTTACCTGTAGATGCCTGCCGCTCGTCAGGATCATGCCGCGCGGAGCCTTACCCGCAGATGCCTGCCGCTTGTCCCGATCATGCCGTATGGAGCTTTACCCGTAGATGCCTGCCGTTCCTCAGGACCGTGCCGTGCGGAGTCTTAACCGTAGATGCCTGTCACTCGTCAGAACCATGCCGTGCGGAACCTCACCTGTAGATGCCTGCCGCTCTCACGTAGTTGTTGACGGTGCTGTCGAGACCCTCTGGACTGTCACGCTCTTCGCGCGCCCCCAGCTGACTGTGCAGGGCCGCGATGTTGAAGAGCACTGACGCTTTCTCGAAGGCCACCGTTCGCTGGCAGCTGGGCAGTCCAGTTAGCGAATCGTACCTGAAACCGGGCGACGTGGTCGGTGAGCGTGCACTTGGATGATGTCATGGGACTGTTTTCTGTTTTGACAGGTCAGGGTAAAACACAAGGGAAAAATGTAAACACAGCCATTTCCAACATATGATTGAAGATTGCAATGACGCATCAACACAAGAGATTCTCACGGACGTTTTGCTCGCCTTAATTCCTGGACAGAAAAAGTAATAAAAACAGACACTTAAGTTCTTGAATAGTCTTTCACGTGCATGTCTCCCTTATTGTAATCCACCCACAAAATTCGTACTCGTTTTGGGCCTCTCATGCTTTGGAACCGGCTTCGCATGCTTTGGAGGTGGCCTCGCATGTTTTGAAGGCGGCCTCGCATGCTTTGGAGCCGACCAGCTGCGCGCGCTTCCACACATCAGTCATGCGCCGTGCCCACCGGGGCTCGCGCCGGCGCATGCGTGCAGGGTACGCACCCAAACCAGTGGGTATTAGACGCTGATGGGCTGGTCCGCGGACTCAGACAGCTTCACAAAACAACCTCGTGCCAACACAGCACGACCGGGTCATCGCGCACGCAGGAGTCGCTCGCACGCGAGCTCTCGTGCTGAGCGGGCCGGCCCGGCGAGTGAAAAAGCGGTTTGTCTTAACGTGGCTGCGTCGGACAACGGTGGTACAACAAGTCACGGAGCACGGCCGCGAGGAAGATGTAGAAGATTGGCAGATGGTCTCATCGAGATGTCTCGTAACAATCACGGAGCTTGTGGCTCCTGGGCACCGGTTCTGCGGCACATCTAGCGGAATGAGATGTTGAGAGTGACATCTCTCCAAGTCACTCAGATCAGACCTCCAGATCACTTGTCGGTTCGAGCGCCTCGCGCGAAGTCTTGACGTGTGGCGTTGGCGAAGTCTCAGTGACGACTATGATATGGCTGATAGGAAAGTATGATACGACTCTGATAAAAGATTGCAATTTTGCAGGAGCTGCCCAGGAATGTAATGCACGCACCGATAAAGTCGCAAAGTCCCGTATAAATAGCATGGCTAAAATCTCGAAAACATCGTCTCACAATTGGTACTTTTAACTGCAAAGTCCAAAGCGATGCTGTCCAGATAGTTCAGATCAAACTGCAAACAAATGGAGCATTACTGGGAACGGGAATGGGTCTTACGCTTGCAAACTGAAGGCTTTGGCGATGTTTTTTTAAAAGCTCGGGGTGCGATGCAAAGATATGCGAACAAGGAGGGACGTCCAACTCCCTTGCAACTGTAAATACCAATGCACCACATGACATCATGTTCACGTCTGGAGACAGAGGCTCCTGGAAACCTCAGGAAAAAGAAATGCGAGCCCATTGAAAGCACCAAGGGGTGCTTCCGAGCTCCCGGGCTACGCTGCGCAAAGGTAAGACGTTGCCACGTACTGAGCAGCCGCAGACTACGCCGTCACAGACATAACAGAACAGCCAACAGCCAAACGAGCCGCATATGTCGGAACGCATTACTTCCACCACGACAGCGGAGCTTGCGTGTGTGCAGGAAACGGCGTAAACAAGCGGTCGGATGTCAGCAGCCAGACGCCTCAGCCACCGAACAGGTGGCTGCACGGCTGGCGGGGAAGCACAATACGAACCACGCAAACCGTGCAGGACATGGACCACGTAAACCGTGCAGGACACCACAGTCACGCCCTAGCGTCGGCGACTGCACGTCCGCCCACGAAGAAAAAGAGGATGACACAAAGTCCGGCCAGAGCTCACGGCACGGCACGGCACGGCACGGCACGGCCGTTTCGCGCAGTTAAGGCGCACGCCCCCGACCTGCCTCGGCGCTGGTGTTGGCGGCTGAGGCGGTCACACACTGTGTGCCGGTACTCGGCCGCGGCAGCAGCGGGCGGCGGCCGCGCCCGGCTCGTGCTGCGACCTCTGGCGACACCGCCTCCACGAGGACCGGCCTCCTGCCGCCGGCCGACGCACTCACCATTCGAAGTGCACGCCGAGGCTCCGGTCGGGCGGGAAGAACCGCCGCTCGACGAAGTATAGCTGGTTGTAGTACTCGAAGAGCAGGGCTAGCCCGGTTTTGCTGCGCTGGGGTGTTCTCATGGCCTGCGGACGGATATCGAGCAGATTGTGTGATCTGTGGCATCACGGGGAACGAGGAAATCATGATCATTTGACAGGTCGGAAGGAGGCGGGGGCAATATGAGATACCTGTTTCTAGTATATACCACCTGTTTCTGGTATATACCAGCTGTTTCTGGCATATACCGATGATATACAGACCATCTGCATATCTATTCGTCTTTCTATCTATCCATCTTTTTATCTAAGCACACATACACACACACGCCTAAACACCAACACACACACACACACACACACACACAAACACACACACACACACACACACACACACACACACACACACACATTATATTATATATATATATATATATATATATAATATATATATATAAATATGATACCGATGATATACCGAGAGCAACGACTTATCATGAACGTCAAATGAGCCTTTCAGAAACCTCTGAACCGGTAGGCAGTGGTTATCTTGGAGCATCCAGAAAATAATGATTACGTCACATGCCATCGTAAGAATGGGTGCCGCCGCGGCGTGTCGTTTGCTGCACAACGTCGTCGACGTAATAGAGCAATGAAGGGAAAATGAAAGCAGCTAAACATAACCTGAATGGGCAAAGACCGCAGAACATATGAAAGCGTTTGAAAATATTTCGTTATTGTGGTTACCGTGCATCGCAAGTACTGCTCTCCACAACATCGCTGCATACTGACGGTCAGTTGCAGTGTGTTGCAGCTCTATTCAAGCTGCTCAAATATGGAGAGCAGTCATGTGCAGTCATTTTTGGAAGGATGGCAGTCGTGACAGGGATGCATGATTTCAA